AAAGAGTTGTATTTGCACAGTTTGAACTTGTTTCTGGTTGTTTCTTATTATTAAAATATCCAAAATGCAACTTAAAATCAGGGAAAGATGTCAGGAACTTAACTGACTTGTGTTCTGAAAGACGAAGCAAAGGCTTTTGTCTTGAGACATCTTGTTTTACCTCACCTTGAGGCAGGCATACTGTTTCTCCTTGACTCCTTGTTTCTGCAAACATAGTTCTTGACTTTGTTTACAACTATAAATCACGGGGGTTTTTTTACTGTGTGGTCCTTCCTGCATCTCCCCAGCCATGATTTAAATGGTTTTGAACAGCTGAGATCTGGATCAAAATAACAGTTGTAATGGCTAATTTTCCTTCTTTAAAAAACCTAGTGAGTGACTTAGTGAGGAAAGAGTAGAGCAGCAACTGATGAATGATATGGCTGCTGTTCTTCAATAAGATATTGCACATAATCATTAGCTCTCCACGTAACACCAAACTAGGGCTCTGCCCAGTGGTATCATAATGTGTGGCTACAGTTACAGCAATTATGTAGTAGTATATTAATACACTGCCTGTATTAATAAGGACTAACTGACCTGGCTGGAAGCTAATTTTATGGCTTCCTGAGATATGGCACTACTTCCAGATGCCCTTGCCTGCCAAACAGGTCTGGGTGACTGGGCCTCCTGCAGCACCTACCAGTTTATTTAAAACTGCAGCAAGTACTAGTTTTATGCACTGTGTTTGGTTGTTCATCTAATTCAGCTTTTTAGAGAGGTTTTTTTTTAAATATAAAAATCGTGACTTGGCTTATGTATAGCCTATCCCTGTCCTTCTCACTCCTGTTCTAGGATGAATGGATGTTTCCAATTTCTTGAGTTACCTTTTTGCAGACTTGTTATGTTAAACAGAGCATTCAATTCTTCTCTAAAAGTAGATTGTCACTTGTCTAATGACTCCATCTTTAGTCCCACTGTGATCAAGTAAGTCTTAGAAACTAGTATAAAGTCATATGTGGATTATTCTGATGCTAACCATAGTAATGCCTCTATAGGAATAGTACAGATTGTGTCATAGAGTTAATATTTAATGCCATTTTCTTCTTGTTGGACAGTTTAAAAATTCTCATGAGTTCTGTATTGATTTCTAATTTTAAGGTTTTCTAAGACAAGTTTTTAATCTTCACAACAGAACTCCTATTATCCAGAAAGAGAAGTCAGTTAAAATAAGATACAACAGGATTGAACAGTCCATGAAATAGAGAAATAAATTACTCTTATAATAGTAGCTGGTAGAGCGATTTATACCTCCTGTTGCCTACCCAGCAAGAACATGCATACCAGAAAATGAATGAAAGTGGGTCTTACAGTTCTTAAAGATTAAAATTTTATCTGGGTGCTTTCAGACATAACTTTAAAGTTTATCAGCAGTAGAACATGAAGACTCTAAAACAAAAAACACCAAGAAGGGCATCTGTACTTCATGAGTCATTCAGAAATAAAGAATAATGATGAAAAGTAGTCTCTGTTAAACATACTTCCCTCAGAAGAATGAGTTTGGTGCCCATAACAGATGTTCCTAATCTCTGCTTTCAAATGCTATAAAACATAAGAGCAGGCTGAAAAATGCTTATAGCTGACCTTCACTTGTCTTCTGGAAGAACAGAAAAAATAATTTTCAATTTTGGGGGTTTGAGAAAAAACAATGCTAAACTTTTAAGGCTGCAGCATCAATTCCAGAGTGTCCCATCATTCTGTTTTAACACTGGAATTATGCAAGGTATTATGAAGAGGTTGTCTGGAAGAGCATGATCTCCTGATCTATTTAATCCATGTAATCAAGTATGGTGCAGAAGAACTAGGGCTATGCAGCAAGGGAGTCTGACTGGAAGACTGCTGCTTCATTTTTTGGCAGAGCCTTTGGATGATTTGAATGAAAGATACCATGAGCTAGAATGCTGTAAGCAAGAGGGTCTCTAGTGCCTGCAGATGCTGAATGCTACTCTTGAAAGGAGAAGAAAAATCTATTCCTTTCCTCAGGATTTTTGCAGTTGAAAGCAAACACTGGCACTAAGAGCAGCAGCAATGGTACTACATACATAAGAAAAAGCAAATCAACTCTTAGACTTGCATTTGATGCATAAAATTAGGAGGCATTTTCAACAGGTAGTATAGTTCTATATCAGGAGAAGAGTCCTAACAGTCCATTTCACTTGGGTATCACAAAGATAAAATTGCAATTTTAGAAGGCTTATGTGAACATTAATGCTTCTATGCATAGAGCAGTTTGAAGAATTAGCAGCATACAACAAACAAGGACAGATAAAAATATCTACCTTTGATAAGTTACTCATTAAGCCTTAGAGGCACCAGACCAGACTTCTGTAAAATCCTGTCAGCAGGTTTTAGCAGGAACAAGGCTGCTCCCTGGAGAGCTGAGCTGGAGCCAAGGGCAGCCCCACAGCAGGCAGGGAAACAGCAGGAGAGGCAGCCCAGCAGGAAGGATGGTGAAACCACAGGTCCCATTGGTAGCCCACTGAGCATCAGGCACAGACTAGACAGCAAGCCAGCTTGAAGGCAAATGAGCAGGAACCCCAAGCAGCAACCCAGGAGCATCAGATAGCAGGACAAGCAGCAGACACACCCTCCTTTAAGAAAGGCTTAGAGGAGGTCTGACATGCCAGGCCTGAGCTTAAATAGGGCTCCCGGCCCATGGGCAGAGGGGCTGTGTGGGGGTCCCAGGTGAGGGTGCTTGGGCAATTAAGGCCTCTGTGCCCTCAGGGCCCTGGCAATGTGTATTTACTCTCATCTAGACAACAGGGGTAGAAGCACTTTCAACAAGTGATTTATCCTTCCCATATTAGATGGTTATCCTAAAATGGCATCCTTTGCTCTAGGGGTGCCTTGTTCTTGTCGTTGTTTATGAAAGGGAACATAAATGACTACGTCAGAAGAGTTGCTTAACATTTACATTGCTAAAGTTAGACCAGATGTGTTCCTTCCAGCTAAGTGCTCTGCGATGAATAAGCAAGGGCTCGCATGGGAAAAAGTAGCCTAGACCATCACGTCATTAAAATGTCTGCCACAGTGCAACTCAGGGAAGCTGCTCTGTGACTATAAATGCACTCTTCTTGCTTTTTGTAGCTTCTGATGGTTTGCTCTGCCCCTTACTAATACTTTCAATTATTTTGTCTACTATTAGTCTAATAGGTCCCAAAAAATGGAGACCCTCTGTGTGTGTCAGGCTGTGCTATATCTGTTGTTCTCCAGGAAGGAAAGATCTAAAAAAACCTACAGCCCTCTGAAAAAATGGCATTCTATTCACAATCTTGTTATTCCAGTTACACAGTGGTATTCTGTTATTTTCAAATAATTTCTGCTGACGTAACAAATCATGGCTATAAAATGGATAAAATATGCAGTCTGGGAAATGGTTTCTTACCATTCTTACCAGGGCTGGGGCTGGAGCACCTCTCCTATGAGGACAGGCTGAAAGAGTTGGGGCTGTTCAGCTTGGAAAAGAGTAGGCTCTGGGGAGATCTTGTAGCGGCCTTCCAGTACCTGAAGGGGCCTACAAGAAGGCTGGGGAAGGACTTTTCATAAGGGCAGTTAATGACAAAACAAGGGGAAATGGGTTTAAGCTGAAAGAGGGGAGGTTTAGATGAGATATTAGGAAGAAGTTCTTCACTGTGAGGGTGGTGAGACACTGGAACAGGTTGCCCAAGGAAGCAGTGAATGCCCCCTCCCTGGAGGTGTTCAAGGCCAGGCTGGATGAGGCTTTGAGCAACCTGATCTAGTGGAAGGTGTCCCTGCTGATGGCAGGGGGGTTGGAACTAGATGATCTTTGAGGTCCCTTCCAACCCAAACCATTCTATTATTCTATGATTCTATGATTACAGTACATGAAGTATGGGGACCAGGTCTTCAATGCCATTTCACTGCAACTTTAATTATACTTGTCCTGAGCTTGCTTTCCTGTCAGCTGTGTTAGTGAGCAATGTCTTACAGTGACACGTGTCCCCAAATGCTTTGATATTGTTTTCACTTGGTACTCTGCTGTGCTTTGTTTTAGATTTACAATCGTCTAGACAGAAACTGCTGTGGATTCAAACCTCTCAAGGAGGATTCCTGTGTGCAGCAAGGGCTGAAGCTGAAATGTAGTGATCAGGATGCTGTTGACCTAACACACATAGTTCAGAGGAGGCATGACCGAAGGCACTTGACCTTTATAGACAATAAGGGTTTCTTTGACAGAAACGAGGACAATCTTGACTTCAAAATACTACAAGGAATCAATGAGTAAGTTTTAAGTTGTTAATTTTGTAAAAAGATTGATCATTTCTTCCCAGTTTGAGCATGAGACACTAAGTTACTGGAATAGATATTGTGGGCCCAAGACATTTACAGGATATGTCTAAAAATGTATGAGTGATCCCTCTGCTGTAAAAGATACAATTAACATGTGTAGGATTAGGCATGCATGGAATTCCTTTGCTGAGTCACAGTCTATGTTCACAGAATTGATTGCTAAACCACAACATAAATATTGTAATTCAGAGTGATGGCAAAGCTGATTAATTTCTTTGTGCTTTTCCAGATTCCCTGAATCTGCAGTTTCAGTGCTGAGGAGCCAGCGTTTACGTGAGAAGTTGCTTCAGTCTTTGTTCCTTGACAAAATATACTGGGAGAGCCAAGGAGGCAGAAAAGGAATTGAAAAGCTTATTGATGTAATAGAAAGGAGGTCCAAAATTCTTCTTACTTATATAAATGCACATGGAGCCAAAGTATTGCCCATGAACGAATGAAGAAGTCTTGTTTCTATCTGAGAGATAGTCTTTAAAAATCTTTGTATGTGTAAAAAACTGACAGTAAAATTTATTTCATTCATAGGCTTATTTAATTTTTTTTCCCAAACTTTCACGTTTATTTTTAAATAAGAAGTCCTACATGATTTAAAAGCAACATTTAAATATTGGCTGCAGCTCAACACAGTGCAGTCAATTCTATGTCACCAGTGAAATGAAATAAAAATTAACCAAATGGTACAATAAATAATGTAGTAATATGTAGGTACCATGAACACTTCTTCTGTTAAACTGTTTGAAAATTAGCAACAGGATTTTCAGTGCATTAGGCTGGATTACCCTTACTTCCCTCATTCAAGTCAGTAAAAATTTTACTACAACTTTAAATGGGAACAGAGATTTGTAAGCACTTAGTACATTGATGAAAACTGTCATCAAATCTACCTGCAGAAACATATCTAGTACAAGAATTTGTCTTTTTGATTATGAATACTAAAACCAACCCATTTACAAAGGTTTATTTTGTTTTATTTTGTTTTGGTCTTTTGAAATCTGAGAAGTAAGTCCAGCTCTTTTAAGTGCAGGGGTGTTTGCACTGGACATGAGGGAAATTTAAAAACAGAGTGAGGAGAACCTGGCTTTAACAATCATAATTAATTTGACAAATACAGTTTTTACCTGCTGGTATGGTGTACAGTTTGTCATGAGTCACTTGTTACAATGTACTGTTTTCAGTACAGGTTTTTTTCATGTGTGTTCTGTGTGTTTTCATGTGTTTTCACATGTGTTTTCTGATATTTTCTGTGTATTGATTAACTGAGTGTTACTCACAGAATCATCATTTATTGCTACTAGTTTTAAATAAGAAATTCAGGTTTAGCTTATGTGAATATGCTGCTAAGTAAGTGTACACATTTTGGTTTTGTGATATTATTAACAATATTTTTTTAGACTATTATCAAAAAGCAGACCGGCTAAGGACATGAGTGTTGTTAAACCCAGCACAGAAAATATTTGTGCTGCGTGCTCAGCTCTAGCCAACAATTCAGGTTCTGGTTTTCCATTAAGACTGACCACTGCAGGGTGATGATTCTAGCTGATAACTCACCCCAGGTATTCCCATGGGTAAGGTTGTTAGAGAAGACTGGATAAGCACTTTGGATACTTGACCTTCATCTGCTCCAGAAATAAAGTGTCAGCTGATATACAACATATACCTTCTATCTATCTGTTTAGAAAGACTCTTTCCATCTTTCCAGAGAAATATCTGTTGTCTTCTTGCCATGAGATAATGACAGAAGTTGAATGCTTTCAAAGCTACTCTTGTCTTTATGTATAATAAAACAATATAAGGTGCATAAGATTTTAAAATATTTTTAAAGTGCTTGTGTAATGGTATTAATGAAAAACTAAAATATTTTGTGTCGATGTTAATATAGATGAATGAGTTTAATGTTTTAAATAACTACAATTCCACTGCAGCTAAACCAGATCGTCTTTCTTAGTATCAGAACAGGTATTAATAATAACTAGAAGAAACAGATCTCATTATAGGCAGAGTTAAAGATACTTAATAAAATTTTAAAAGCTTGGCCATCTAAATAATCTTTTATTTTATTCTGTCAGCAAAGGGCAGATACATTTGTAAAAACTTGCTAGAACTTAGCTATTGCCTTGAGCAGACACGTTCTAGAGTGCCTTGAACTTTTAATAGCACTAAAGTAGGATTTTAGAGAATCTTCATATTATTTCTTTCTTAAAATGTCGTAACTTATTAACCAGGTAATTTCTGTCACAGAAACAAAAATATTACTGTAGCTTGCACTGTGAACAGAGCCTATAGAAAGAAATAATCCTCTGGATCCATTTCCCATGAAATTCCTGTTGCAGTAAATTCTCCTCTTTGGTGACCCTCACGATAAATTTATCTCATTTTCTAGCCTATCTCAGTTTTCTTCCTGCTAGATATGTTCAAATGGATTATCACACACTGCTGGGAGTGGGAGAAAGGCATGACTCTCAGCTGCACTGAACTTAGAAGAAGGCCAAGTAGAGATGCAAGAGTGTACCTGATCATGAGGTACCCTGTCTTCTAGCTTCTCCTCTTCTACCTTTAGATTGCACATCCTGATACCAAATTATTGCTCAGTTGTTCTTTTTTCCAGAATTGACTCATTGCCCAATAAGTGAAAGAAATCAGAAGTCAGGATTTTTTAATCTTTTCAGGTTAGGTCATTTATTTTTACGGTGATAACATGATGCATTCTTCTCCATTTCTTCTGGATGTGGACTAGTGTTTCCTTGAGCATGATACATGCTTTTTTTATTTGCCTGGCATCTTAGTGCCAGATCTTAAAGCAGCAACATAATTGCCAACTAGTAAGTAATTGCCCTGAAGCTGACCTGGATAAATGCCTCTCGGTAGTCCTGAGCTTCAGAGGTCCAAGTAGCCAGGATGCTGTGCAGTACTTAAAAATTTGACCAAGCATGAAAAGTATAATTATAAAGAGCAGGTCTTCTAGAGACAAAGCCTGCAAATGAATGTCCTTAGGAAATGAATAGTGGTTTTTACTAGATATTTGTGGATGCAGAGGCAAATAGTTCAAGCTGTCATTAGAGCTAACCTGCAGGGCCAAACAATAATATTTAGAGTACAAAGGGAAGGATAGGTGTACCTCCCTGTGCTGTCAAGTATGGACCAGACAGGTACATAAAGGCACTGTCTTCTCAGAGCTGCTGCAGAGACCAGTGAGTCCAGAGCAAATGGCCAAGGCAGACTGAGCTGTGCCACTGCTGCACACATTACGCTTTCCAAGGGCAAGGGAATGCTTCTTTCTCTGAAATTCTGAGTTTAGGTCTAGGGCAGGGCACTGCATCCTGCTCAGTGCCTTAGCATTGCACTCTGCATAGCTGGACGTCTTGCTTTCTATGCTGTGTTAACATGCCGTATTTCTTATGCTTACAAACACTCTCTTATTGTTCAGGGAAGTCACGAGAGGCTTTGGGCAGTGGCACTGGCCTAATTCTAATTCTCTGATGTTGATAACAAACTCCAGAAAGTGCTTTTTCTCCATAATGTTTATCCTGTTGCCGTAGAACTTGGTACTTGAATCCAGTATGTTACTAATACAAAGTATGATTGCGATAGTGCTTATGAGTACATAAGAAAAGTTCTAGCATTTTGGGTTTTTTTGGGGTTTTTTTACAAATGTGAAGAATTCTGAACTTTTTGATTGCATTTCCATAAATGATCCAGTAAAAACTGCAGAAGAAGCAGTTTGCAGAGCTTATGTAATACATTCACTGGTAACACGTTCAAGATATCTGCTACTCTCCCTTCAGTAACAGGAGTAAAGTTTATTGGGAAATCAGTCCACCTCCTATAACAGCATGATGTTGGACTGACATTCCCGTCCTGTAGCCTAAATATTAACAGATAGGAAGAATCTCAGAGAAGCCTTAGTCTACCTATGGTTGTGATCAACAGAAAGCCAAGAAACTGTTTTAGTCATCTTTGCTGGGCTGTCTTCCATTTTTGGGCATATGGGATCAGACAAAGATTCATGTTGCACTCTACTCGGAAGGGTGTAACCAACGGCAACAGTCCAAAGCCAGTGGGTGGGAAAAGACGATTATGTCATTCTTGAATCTGTCTGAAAGCCAGAACCACATGAAATGCACTTACTAAGAAAGTCAAGAGAGTTTGCTGATTTCATAACATTGGAAGACAGAGCTTAAAATAAGTAGCGCAGGCACAGATGCCTTAAAATTCCTCGGGAGCCTGCCAGCAAGTTAATAATCTTAAATGTTTCAAAAGCTGAGGACACCAAAATTTTTTTGTGGAGGACTGTGAGAGCAATTTCCTTCTTTTTTTGTGTGTGTATTCTATAATATACTATATTAAAAGAAGATAAATGTCATGGTTTCAAACAGATTTGGGGTACATTAAGGGACAAGCTTCCAGTAGCAATTCTGGGAACACTTTCATGTGTGTATATGTAAACATGAACATACATGTATCTGTATGTATAACTTGGCTTATTTCTACAAAATAATAGGTTTGCCTAATAAAGAGTGAGTTGTTTATACAATTTGCTGTTTACATGTAGAATTGTATTTGTGTGCATTAATCCAATTTTGTTTGTACTCAAGTTGAAGTTTAAACAAAACATTATTATGGATGAAACTTTTGTTCTTAAAGGATTAACTCTCCCCTTGCTAACACACTTCTATAATCTTAAAAGTTTTCTACTTACAATCATAGAGAAAAACAGCAATATGTTTCTATCTGAGCTAAACTGCCAGAGTGATATCAACTCAGATGTTTTTATTTATTGAGTTTTTTATTAGATATTGAATTTCCATTTTCTTTTGGAATTTGTGCATTTTAAAAGTCCATTTATTTGTCCTTTTGTTAGGAATAGTAAAAGTATTATCACAAGTAATGCATTGTTTCAATCTCTGCTACCAATAATATAATGCAATATAATGTCTAGGAATACATAAAATAAAATATCTTAATCAGATTTTCAGTTCAGATCTCTTAAGTTGCAATAGCAAAACTGTAATACATATTGATGTAATATGTGGATCATTAGATTCTGTTTAGAAAGAACTATGGCCTTGAAACTCCTTCTTCAGAGAAACAATCCAAACCAGATTATGAAGCTCTTCCCGTGGAAATATTTTGTAGCTGTTTACTCACGAGACTTGTAACTCTTTCTTACTAAGCTAGTTCATTGTAGCTGTGGAGCTTCTGGTTACTGCAGCATTAGTGTTTACTGCCTTCTGTAGCCATTCTGGCAATGCTTACTTACACAAACACTGAGCAGGAAAGGCCATGCCCATTGGTGGTGCCAGAACAGAAGTATTGATCAGTGATTGGTAAGCTTTATAACAGACCATAAGCACATACCAGAATAGAAGACACTGAACTCTATGTGGAATAGAGACTTGCACAGAGTTAAAGTAGCCTAAGAACTTTTGGCCTGTGAAGTTTACATTTTTTCCATGATCCAAGAGAGACTAATAGGAAACACAAAGATGCTGAAACATTTTTAAACATTCTTTTTCCCACACAAAGTAATTTGATTTGTTTTCTTAAAAACATTATTTATTTTTGCACATTACTCATACTTCAGGCTA